TATATATATATATATATATATATATATATATATATATATATATATATTATATGTGTTCTTCTCCACAGTGTAACTCCTACTCACTTGAATATCTTGCACCAAAAACATTAAGGTTTCCTTGCATTTCCTTTTCAGTTTCAGTTCAGAAAAACACATCTCCAAAACTACAAACATTCACTATTCATATGATATCCCTCTGTGACGGGGGACTTTGGTGTACCGCTTGTTAAATCTTAATACGTACAGAACCATTTTGCACTGACTATAAAAGACACTGGAGCTTCACTTGGTTGACTGGTGTGTTGGTGTCTTGCAGGATTTGGTGTTGAAGGTGCTGCGATATCTAGAGAGCCCGTCTACTGTAACAAGAGCCAAAGCATTGCTGCTGCTGGTGCTGCTAATAAAGGACAACACAAATACTCTGGTTTACTGCTGTCAGCACAGGTAACAATGCACACCACCACACATTCATACTGAACCGATTCCACAGAACAGTCTCAAACAAGACAATGTATGACTCGCCATGTAATAAGTAAAGGCCCATCAACCTTGGTGGAATGCATGTCGCCCACAGCGTTTCATTTCAGGGTTTAGCTGTTTTGGTCAAATTTTGTACGTAAATTACTTTATGCATTATCTCACAAGATATGTTAGCAGTCAGAGCATATGATGATGACGACTCTCAGACAATACCACACCAAAATTAGCTTATTATCTGCACATTTAGCTAACTTACACTCATTTTGGCTTGGCTAAGGTCAATTAGCTGTGATGGCCATTTTGAATCGAAATGTTTGAGTTTCAGATGTACAACCAATAATCAAGTTCTTGGATTTTCCAGTGTTTCATAAGATATTTAGAGAAAGGAAAGGTCAGGGAAGTCTGAGATTGTCATAATTGTATGTTCTCATACAACGGCAAAATTAGTTTTCTGCATTGAACCCATCACACGTGAGATACACCCTGGTGGAGCAGTGGGCAGCTATGTAAGTGCCCGGGGAACAATTAGAGATTAGATGTCTTGCTCAGAAACACCACGCACGACATGTGGGAATGGCAGGGAGTCGAACCGCAACTTTCTGGTCCCTGGTCGGCTGCCCTACCTCTACCCTATCTCAGCCCCAATTTAACAGACAGCGTTGACTCTGACAAGTAATGTCAAAAATTTCAACCAAAAATGTTGCACAATGTGTTGCTCTTTGTTGTGATGTGAATGACCCTCAGCTACTACCACACCACATTTTAGGTGAAAAACTAAAATTGACAACGCATGTTCATGGCAATTAGCTGTGGTGTTTATCTTGAATTGAGGTGACTCCAAAAGTCATAGAATAGAATAGAATAGAATAGAATAGAATAGAATAGAATAGAATAGAATAGAATAGAA